GTTGGTTTTTCCTAAAAACTTGTCGGATAGCAGGTTTAGGATTGTTAAGGGTCCGATTATCGAGTCATGACTGTACACTGTTCAGAGCTGAGAGGTTGCCGTATTGTGCTGGTACTAGTTTAGTTTGATTTGCATATAGTAGGTGATTCATTGGTGCACAGCTGGGCTGAATTGATTTCAAATCAAAATCACGATTTAAAGCGATGTAATTAGCAAATCACAATTCTAGACATGCAGCACGCCTGACTCAGTTTTACTAATTCATGTCCTCCTTGTGTGACAATCAGGTTTTTGATGGTATCTGGTGTATTAATGCTCCGCTGCATGTTTTACATCTATTGCACAGCGAATATTAAACTAAAGGTTGAACTAAAAGGTACAAACGGTGTAAGTGATGCAGGAGACAGGATGTAGAACACACGGTGGATGTGAAGACGGTTGCTTTTAAACTCCCTGCCCTGCAATCTGTGTGAAGGTTTCTGCTCCAACGTTCCATCACACTGTTCCTTTATATGTAGTAATTGTTCTGTTTAAAGCTCGTTTTACAATCAGAGTAAGTGATAAGTAATCTGCTGCTGTCCATGCTTGACTCATTAATCATCATTTCTCTTTTGTTTTCATGTCTTAAATCAATATTTTATTGAATTGCTGCTGTTGGTTGTCCAGTTAGTTTCCCTCCTTTTAAACCGATCATGCAGAGATATGATTGTGTTTGTTTACTGATGATTGGCAGGTCGGATGGGCTCGCAGGTAATAGTCCCTCACCGCTGTGATCGCTATGACCTCATGTACATGAGACCCATGGGGGATCTCGGGCAAATCATTTTTATGGTAAGATTTACACAGAAACACATTTATCCTGCAAAAATGTGGTGAACGGTGTCGTCATCAAACTGCTTACGCTCATGAATCTAAGAGCCTTACATCTTGGTTATGTATTCTGTTAAAGGAGTGGGATGCGAGGGACAAAGACTCCATCAAACAGGCTATGGCGAGCTCTAACGTCGTCATCAACCTGGTGGGCAGAGAGTGGGAGACGAGGTACACTAACCTGGAAACACGCATGTCGTCTGTTGTGTGGATCTCATGAAGCCGAGTTGGAATTGTAAGCCGGCTCTGAGATGTAAGTGTTCTCTCTGTTCTCTGTGAAGGAACTACCGCTTCGAGGACGTCTTCGTGTCCATCCCTCAGCAGATTGCTAAGGCAGCCAGAGAAGCTGGCATCACGAAGCTCATCCACATGTCGCACCTCAACGCTGACATACGCAGCCCATCCAAATACCTGAGGAACAAGGTGGCTGCTTCTCTGCATCTTCCACTCAGTCAGACTGGTGTTTCTGTTGTAGTGTGTTGACATGTTATGCGAGTGTTGATGACATTAAAGTCTGTGTAAATATAGTTGATCTTTGTGTATTTTTAACTGCAGGCTGTAGGCGAGACAGCAGTGAGAGATGAGTTTCCTGACGCCATCATCCTGAAACCGTCTGAGATGTTCGGGAGGGAGGACCGATTCTTCAACCACTACGCAAGTAAGGAAGTCGTTTGTGTCTCTGCGTGATGGGAATGTGGCTCGTTGGGTCATTGTTGTTGTGTGCATTCAGTTGTATATAAGCAGCCTTATGGTTGCTCGTCTTCTTCTACAAACACAAGCAGATCTGCTGCTAAGTTTCTTTCGACCACTTCCGTGTCCCGTAGTGTTGAATACGTTTCCTTTTGATACCAACAGTTAACCGGTAAAATTTTTAATTGCATTTTTTCTTCTTCTTCAGACATGCGCTCGTTCGGCAGGGCTATTCCTCTGATCTCCATGGGGAAGAAGACGGTGAAGCAGCCTGTGCACGTACGTTTCACAAGGAAGCAGCTGTTCATGTTCCATTTAGAATAGACGTCACATCCCCAAGTCATTGCTCAAACTGAATGATGTGTTGCTTCTGTCGCTTTGTGTGGATGTTAACAACGAAGCAACACAAGGTGATCGCTAAGCAGCTCCACTGGGATGATTGAGTGTGTAGCTGAAGGTTGTGTTGGCGTTTCTTAGCAGCCATATTTCACTGCTTTAGGGACCAAATACCTGTTCTGTCAAATTCACACCATCTCAGACCTCGTTTACACGTAGCGAAAACGGTGATGTCTAAATGCGTTTGGCTCTTTGGTTTACACGTAAACAAAGCTACGAGTCACCGAAAACGATCACGTCTGAAAACTCCGGCCAAAGTGGAGATTTGGAAAAACTACGTCTTTACATTTGCATGTAGACACACAGTATGCGACAAAAGCATCATCAGCGTCATGTGTGCGACCATGTTTACAGTTCGGCTACGTCCGTATACTTGGACTGACGTGTTTACAGTCGATGTTTTCTGTTATTTTGTTTGTCGTGTCTCTAACACCACATGTAGGAGCAGCTCCACTTCTCTGTGGGTCCAAACAAACGACCCTCGCGCCGTTATCTTTGAAGTAACAGGAAGTTTTCATTGTTGTGTTTTTTCCAGGATCCTGATTGGCTCGCGTGGCTTTATGCTTCTCGTTACACTGCCCCCTGTAGGTCTGGCAGCTCATAGCAGCTCTTAACGACGTGTTTATACGGAGATTTTTTTGGTGTGAACGATGTTATTTTTGAAAACGTAGATCCATTTTTGTGAATACCGGCTACGTGTAAACGTGGACTAAGTCAGAAGTGGCTGGTGATCAGCACTCCTTCAGTAGACACTGTCCAGCGACTATCATCTGAAACAAACTGATTGTTTGATTAACTTGAGTTTCTACTATTTACCTCACAAACTGCCTCAATTACAGGATCAACTGTGTGTCAGATAAACTCAACTAAACCGACTCTTTTCTCCATCAGGTGGTGGATGTGGCGAAGGCAATCATCAATGTTGTCAAAGACCCCGATGCTAACGGAAAGACGTACGCACTCGTTGGGTAGGTGGTCAGTTTATTAACAAATAGTATATGCTCAAGAGATCTGAGAATACTGAACTGAATGTGTGACAGTTCAAATGATGCAGAGGTTTTAGTTTATAGCGAAGGTTGTGGAATTTACAGTGAAAATAATCTATACTGATGCACATAAGCAGAGTATATGCTACACTTGAATGTGGTAAAAACGTGATTCGGTAAAATGTTTTCTTTGTATAAGCTAAAAATATAGTGTGAGGGGAAAGAGAGCAGACGCTGCACCGAGGGAAGAGTGAAACATCTTTAATGTTACCGTTACTGAAATGAGTGTACAGTGGACTGAAAGCAGGTCTGTCTCTATGGAGCCACTCTTCAGTTCTGTTTTTGCGTACTCGGTACATTTTGCCTGTGAGAACTGTCACATGGCCTTTATGATTAAAGTAAGTGTATGAACAGTGTGTGTTGGTCGGCGTCACAGCTGTGTGATGCTTGGAGTGTTAGTGATGAAGACTTCTCTGAACAGATGTTTGTCCTGTTTTCTTGTCTCCAGTCCCCACCGTTATCTCCTTCATGACCTGGTGGATTACATCTACTCCGTGACACACAGACGCTTCATACCCTACCCCTTGCCCCGCCCAATCTACCAGTAAGCATCTTCTACATGTTCTTGGAGCGTTTGTCCTCTGTGTAACTGCCTCATCAGCAGCATGTCGCAGCACAGATTGTGTTCAGCCACGATTGCTGGTGATTAAGGCTTCACACGTCACATCAGGCTGCCGATGGAAATATTACTCTCCTGAGCCACCAGTAATCAAAACCTGCTCATGGGTCTCTTGGTGCAGACGTTACGTGTGACTGTCAACTTACTGACTTGTTTTGCTTTTCAGCCTCATTGCCAAGTTTTTCGCAATGAACCCATTTGAGCCCTGGACAACCCCAGACAAAGTGGACAGGGTAAGACGACCAGCAGTTTTATATGACTTTAAACTTGAGGTTGTGAGAATTGCACCACCAGCGCTGTAGCCAGGTGCTTTTCCCACAGAAACAAATTAAACTTCTGCACTATTCTTTCATTTTTCCAGTTCCACACAACAGACATGAAGTTCCCAGGACTTCCCGGTCTGGAGGATCTCGGCATCACTGCTTCCTCTATAGAAGAAAAGGCAATTGAGATTCTGCGCCGCCACCGCCGGTACCGCAACCTGGACGCCGACCTGGATATGACAAAGCCAGCTAAGACCGTCAACTATTAAAGCACCTAGTGAGAAATCTCCTTCAAATGCTTTGTCATGAATTATATTGTGTACATAAATAAAGAATTCTCCTCTTAAAGTGTCCCCGTGCTGAGCGTTTTCCTCGTTCGCTGCATATTATAATCATAAAACACCGCTGTAGCGTATTCACCCACCTTCCCAGTTCCCCCCATTAGACATATTTATTGTTTTACAAGACTCGAATAATAGAATTAATCATCAACCAGAGCCTGAATGGAGGCGGCAGGTTCAAGCAGTAAAGCCTGAGAAGATTTATTTTCAGTCAAGATAACAGGAAACTTTAAAAGTCAAAGTCCAGACCTGAACAGGGCTGAGAAATTTAGCTCTGCTTACAATAAAAGATGGCAAAATGAAGACGTGTAGACATGTAAAGCTAATAGAACAAACCTGAAAAGGAAATAGCTGTGTTGGAGCAGCCAGGAAGCTTAAATCTGGATGCAATTGGTAAGAAAATACAGCTAAAAAGACAGATTATAGGCAGAAAAACCATCTTAACTCTGTTTAATAGATACACAAAGGAATGAGAGTAATATAAAGACTATTGGTTTGAGCCGGACTACAACCAGAGGAGGGTTGAATCAGTGCAGTAAATCCTTCAGTGTACTTTGAAACCTGGATTATATTGTTCACTTGATAGCGTCGCATCCTCTCCTCCCACCCGTCACTAAGGTACTGCTGTATAGACGTAGTGTGGTTTCCCTTAAAAGCAATGTCTTGACACGGGTTCATGCTCTCGTCAGCCTCCTTAAATTGAGCTCTTTCTTCGATTTTACCAACTCTAAAGGACTCATTGGAGGTGCACATGGTAGGAAGTGTTATCTTTGTGATAACATGAGTTTTTATTGTTCGACTCGAGCCGTAAAGTCTGTTCAGAGAGAATGAAAGCATCGTGAACCTTTTGTGAGACGCCACCATGAAGACACACGTGCGAAAAGTTGGACTGATCGGAGCCTTTTTACTGGTAACGTACATCGTCACCTTTATGATCACAAGCTGGAGACAAGTGAAATCTTCCTCTGAAGGAGTCACAGATGAGGACTTTGTGAACAGAAAACTGGACAGGATTGAAGAGACACTAAACAAACTGGGTGAGTACCGTTTAAAAAGTGCACGTTCTGGCTTTGCAATCTCAGAATCGAATAGTTTAAATTGATATTTATGTGAAAGTAAATTCATTAAATGGCATAAAAGTGGAGTTTCAGTTTTAAGAACATTGTACATCAGACACGTGGTGACTGTGGGTGGAACACTTGAGTTGTCATGATAACCCCACACTGGCTAACCTTATGTAATTAGAGCTGTGTGTACGGTTTGTTAATCTTTCATAAGTTCTCTCTATTTCTGCGTAAATGTGACCTCATACTGAAAAGTAAAGGACCCAATAAAACAGGACACAGTATTATTGTTATTGTTTTTTTTAATCTTTTAAGCCACGTGATCCAATAATGTTCCGTATCTGTGTGTGTGGCAAAGTGACGAAGTTGAAATTAGAGTTTTCAAACGGTGCTCTCTGTCATTTAAAGAAGCTGAATCTGTTTAAATCTTACTGTGTCTTCGCAACACATCTGTGAAGGTGTATCATGAACAAATGGGAACAGGAGTTGCTCATTAGGTTAGAGGAGGTTACAAAACCATCTATAAAGAGTTTATCCACAGTCAGAGTGTGTACAAATGGAGGAAATTTAAGATTGCTGCTACGCTCGTAGGTGTGCAATAGCCAGCGAGGTCACAAACGAACCAGCGGTGACTTGTGAACAACTAAAGGCCTCCCTCATGTTGGCTCAGGAGAAAGCCTCTGCTCTCCAAAAAGAACACTCAGCTCTCATGGACGAGATAGAAGTTCATCACAAAATAGTTTGGGATCAAATGGAAGTGTTGTGTTTGGAGGAAGGACAACAGTGCATCCCAGCACGAGAGCCTTATCTAATCTGTGAAACACGGTGGCGGCATTATCATGGTTTGGGCCTGTTTTGCTGTATTACGGCCAGGAAGGCTCCCCCTTACTGAAGAAACAATTAGTTCTGAATTTGAGTAGTGAATTCAGAGGGCGAACGCCAGGACATCTGTCTGTGAACTATATCTTCAAAGTAAAGGGCGGCAGGGCAATGCCTCTGAACGAATGATAAACAAGACTAGAGTTAGTGTTTTGGAACGGCAAAGTCAAAGTCTGGATGATAAGGAAGGGGCTAAAACGATCGAATTATGTGACAAAACCCACCAACTATGAAGCCCCCTACAGGTCACGCCGAGGATGTTTTGATGATGCATCCTCTCACAGTCCAGTTATGACCTATATCACTGTATATGGATGTATGGTGCTGTGAGATAATGCAACAGTAGAACGAGTCAGTGCAAAATCATTGAACAGTAACTCAGATCCAGAAAAGTTCTTGCCATCACTCTTGCAAGGGTTTCACACTGTTCTGCATTGAGAAATAGCTACGATTCCTCCAAGTTGATCTGCAGTAACTGTAGCTGCAAGTCGTCTATCGACTTCTCGGGCTTGTACAAAAATCTGATGATGTTTTAGGTCATATTTATGGAGAACACCTCTGTTATATGAAGCCATCCAGTGTGAGATGACAGTTCAGTCAAATCAAAGTGAATAAAACTTCTCTTCATTGTCTAATCTCTTCAACAGCATTGTTAATGGTGGCGTCGGGTCAGAAGAGCTCCTCCAATGAACTTCTCCCAAACGTGGAACAACAAAAACGGAAGCCTGTCGTGCCAAAGTTATTCCCGGACTCCTACCTGTTTGAGAACTGGGGTGACGACCTGTCAGAACAGGACCAAAAGGAGGCTCAAGGCCTTTTTGAGATTTACGGATACAACGTCTTCCTGAGTAATCGATTACCACTCGACAGGAAGATTCCGGACACAAGAGATGGCAGGTAGGCTCGGCTTCGGTATTTTATTTCCAAACATTTGTTCCAGTTCCAGCTTCCAGTGTTCTTCCACGTCTTACCAAAAAACAAACAAAAAAAAAGATTAACTAGTGAATCACAAAAAGATTTTAAAAAGACATTTAATGACATTTTACTTTCAAAGCTCTTTAAATGTAATTTATCTGTCAAAGCCCTGACCTGGACACACAACAGTGGCTGCTAAGTGTTCCTCGTGTGCTAGTTGTATGGTAGGGGGTCCCTCAGGGGTCTATTCTAGGACCACTTTTATTCAATATATCTTGTAATGACCTTCCTCAAGTGTGTCCAGATGTTACTGTGCATGTATGCTGATGATACTGTGATTTTTGTACCTGTTTTATACCTTTTAAACCAAGTCCATAAGAACCTCAGCAACGTTAAATTTAATTTTGATCATTTTAAAAACACAAAGCACCAGTTGATTGATCTGAGAAATTAAAATTGCGTTTAATCTTGCACCTCCTTCTCTTGGCGGACTACCCGGGCAGTGGCTGTTCATGTAGGACTAGAGCATCTGCTGCAAGTGTCTGGGTAATGCAGTTTAGAAAGACAGCTTTTGATTGATCTGCTTTCTTGGTTAAAGCTTTGAGGAAGTAGAAATCCACCCAGACAAACATAAGAGACTCAGAAAGCCTCAACCAATGACTGACTTTTGTCTATTGTATTTATGACTGTTTGGGAGTTTACTGAGACGTGACCTGAACATTCACCATCTCACACCGTTTAGATGTCTGCGGAAAAAGTACCCCAAAGACCTGCCGACCGTCAGTGTGGTGCTGATCTACATAAATGAGGCTCTTTCTGTGATTCAGAGGGCAATCCGAAGCATCATCACCCACACTCCGAAAAAGCTGCTGAAGGAGATCATTCTGGTGGATGACTGCAGCACTTACAGTGAGTTCAACAGCAGCCTTGTGACTTGATGACGTGTCAGTTTGGCCGCTTTGCATTATCATATTTAATATCACATATCTCGCTGTCGTCAGCTGCACTGTTTTATTTGTAGATCTTGACTGTGAACTGCATTTTCAGATGATCTTGGGAAAAAGTTACAAGACTACATAGATCTGATTCACAAGGAGAGACCTGGACTCATAAAGAAAGTGCGGCATCGGCGACAAATGGGCCTGTCCCAGTCCCGGATCTCAGGCTGGGAGCATGCCACAGCTGATGTGGTGGTCATTTTAGATGCCCACATAGAAGCCACGGAGGGATGGTAAGGACAAATGTCAAATGTAGGGCTATATTTTAAGGAAAACAAGTGTAAACTGTAATTTAGATTTTTAAGTCCCTGTTGGAATTCTACCTAAATAGTGTTGAAAAAAGAAATAATTCTTTGCAGGGCAGAACCTCTGCTGGCCAGGATCAAAATGGACCGGACTGTGGTGGTGTCCCCTGTGTTTGATAAGGTCCATTTTGATGATCTGCACGTGGAACCGTACGTGGCATCTTCACACGGCTTTGACTGGGCGTTGTGGTGCATGTACGAGTCCTTCAGCTCTGACTGGTTGAAGGTGGAGGATTATTCACAGCCCGGAAAGTACGTGGAAACAAACTGTATTCTATTAAGCCAGATCCATGTGAGCAGGATTGTTCCTCACACTTATACAAGGAACATCCAGCTATGTTACGTTCTGTGAGGCCACGTGTTTGCACATTTTGGGGGGAGCTAACAGAAAATCTGTTGTTCTAAAACAGCAAAATCTTGTCTGTAGTCTAGCGGTGCTGTATGTCCTCTTGAAGGAGAAAGAGATCAAATTCTACAAGGTTTTCTGCTTTTTTTATATATACTAGAACCACTTTTCCAACAGTAAAATATACAGACATATACAAACCTGAGAAACACCTGAATGAACAAAGAATGCACCACCTAGGGGCCTTATCTCAAACCAAATGATTGATAATAGAAGGGATTTTCCAGTTCTGCATGTTATTTTTTAGGCACATTTCTAGGTAGAGCGTATGGCGGCACAATGCTAGTAGCTCTGTGGTGTGGGTTTTGAACAGGAGTCCCTCTGTTATGGGAATCTTTGCAGCAGACAGACGTTTCCTCGGAGAAATCGGCGGCCTTGACGGCGGCATGACTATCTACGGAGGAGAGAACGTTGAACTTGGGATTCGTGTGAGTAGCCAAAGATGCCCCTGTTTAAATGATTTTTAAAAAGACGACCTAGATAACCACTAGTGACCTTTTTGACCTCAGGTGTGGCTTTGTGGAGGAAGCGTGGAGGTTGTGCCTTGTTCCAAGATAGCGCACATTGAAAGGTCTCATAAACCGTACGCGCCTGATCTCAGCAACGCCATGAAGAGGAACGCGCTGAGAGTCGCGGAGATCTGGTTGGACGAATACAAGAAAAACCCATTTATCGCCTGGAACGTCCCTCTTGAGGTTGTTACCGTGACACACATCTCCACTGTCAACAAGTGTTTGGGGTTTGTTGTGTGTTTTGTAGGGTTTTAACTTATTATTATTATAGATTTTTAAAATATTCTTATGTATAATACTGAGAGTCCTAACCGTAATGTGTAAAATATTCAAGTATATTTGTATAATATAAAATATTAGGGTCTTTACCTTAATATTTATATTCGTCAGGTCATATTTGTCTTATATATGTACTGTTAATATTTAAGTTAGCTTGATAGATTAATATAATAAATAATGCTGTTCGGTCTTAACCCTAATTTTTGGTTATATTTATGTAATTTCGTACGTTCTTAGTCTTAATATTAAAGCATATTTGTGTTATATAGCATATTGTAGGGTCATTAACGTAACATTTAAATTAGTTAAGTATATTTGTACATCTGATATTGTAGAGTTTTAAAATTTATATTAAAATTAGTCAGGTGGAATTGTACAATCTTAATATGTAAATTTGGTAAATGTATATATTAAATAATATTGTCCGGCCTTAACCTAAATAACTAAAGTAGACATTTGCATTCAGTATAACACTGTAGGGTCTTTACCTCAATATTTAAATTAGACGCATAAATTTATATCATAAATGATATAAATGATGTCTGGAGATGTTGCTTCAATATTTCCACATCATGTTCTTTCTTCATCTATTTTGTGAAGCCACCAGTCCCTCCTTCCTCCAGTTAACTCAAATTTGTCAATTAACCAATCAAAAACTTCCAAAGCCATGACATCATCATCTTTCCCAAATAGTCTGAAGGCATCTTAAGCGAATGTAAACGTCTAATTTTGAAAAAAGTAATTAAAAATTCTCATTATTCTGGCGTTTAGCCAATAGAAATCATTTTAGTGAATCTAACTGACCTGAAACAGGAAAAGTTTGGTCTGATTTAAACTTTCTGACACACAGAATCACGGGATTGATATCGGTGACGTTTCGGAGAGAAAAAAGCTCAGAGAAAGGCTGAAATGTAAACCGTTCAAGTGGTACATAGACAACGTCTATCCAAGCCTGGAAACATGGGACAACCTCCTGGGCTACGGTGTGGTGAGGAGCTTTTTCATTCATTTGATATTTACCCTGAAGATGTACCCATGCCCAGTCTTTAAAGGAACACACGAGGAACATTAACGCATGACTGAACACAAGCAACTCTGGTTCCACAGCTGCAGAACTCCTTTATTAAGGGCAGCTGTGTGGACCAGGGACCTGTTCCAGGAAACATCCCCGTCTTGTACGAGTGCCACTTCCAAGAACCACAGGTAATGTTGACAAAAAAGAAAAAAGAAATAAGATAGGGAGATGTAATAAACCGTGTGATTAAAGTATAACTTGCCTGTTTCACCAGTACTGCTACTACAACACCGACAGCGAGATCATCATCGGATTGATTAAATCTCACAAATATAACACCAACCGCTGCCTGGTTGACCCCGGCGCTGGAAGCACTCCAACTCTGCACGAGTGTCAAATGGCGAAGACAAACAGTCTGAACATGCACTGGGACTTCAAACAGGTAAGACTTTATCTGGTGTTGCTCCTGTGTGTTTCCACCAGTAGGAGGCGCCAAAGTCGGAAATGTTCAAACACTACATACAGACTTAGAGACACTCACAGTACGCGATGATGTCATCTCTTTTCGTCGCAGGGCCAAGCAATAAGGAACAAGGAGACCAACAGGTGTCTGGAGATCGCTCAGGGAGAAGACTCGTACTATCAGCTCATCATTCAGCAGTGCAGCGGGCAGAGCTGGACCATCGAGCATGTCGTCACAAGCTTTTAGTTCAGTTCTTAAACATCCATCCAGTTCACCGCCTAATCCTCACTGGAGTCTATCCCAGCTGACTCAGGGTGAAGGCAGGTTCACCTGGACAGGTAACCAGTCTATCACAGGGCTACACTTAGAGACAGACAAC